CATATATGTGGATATATATGTGTGTGTATATCTTTTTGGTATCATATTATATATATAATTTAGAAATTATATATTATATATAATTATATTATATATAATTACTAAGTTGTTGTAACATTTTATAAGGTATTTCTCCTTGCTGGTCAAAATTCTCCATGTTACAGGGGAAACAACATTGATAAAATAGTTTAGCCACTTAACTCAAGAAACAATTAAGGAACAAGGACAGTGAGTCCAGGAGAGATTGATGTCTAAAATTGCTGCAGTATTATTTTAACTGTCCATTCTTTCATCAAAGCCTGACAAGCTAAAAATGGCAGAGGAAAAGCCACAAATAATTCTCACCTCCAAAATATCAGTAAAACTACTGGCAAATCATTTCAATCAGCATTTTAGGGTCATAAAAATAACTCAAATGCTTATGTTTGTCAGGAAATGAAAGGAGGAATTTGAGAAAACAGGTGGCAGTTCTGCTTGTTGTCAAATGAAGGAGGAAGTCTAAGTCCCTCAGATAGTTATTATCTCATCTGTTCAGAGGCTCCCTGGAAGACCCCATTGATAAGGAGGGTTATATTAGACTGAACTTTGCAGTCACCCATAAAAAACTATAGGGTTAGGAAGGGAGTTTTATAATAAAGGTGCCAATCTAGCAGGAAGAGCAATATACCTATAACATTTATGTTTCAGTTAACTAACACCATATCCCTAGACTTAATTTCTATCGCCCAAAAGAAACTAGCCTTGAAAAATGTAATAACTATCCTTATTATCAATCTAAACCTCAGAGATTTAGGCAAGTTCTTACTATATGCTCCAGGCTGGACTTGAACTCACTGTGTAGGCCATGCTGGGCTTCATCCTGCCTCAGCCCTCCAAGTTCCAGGATAGTAAGCATGCACTACCATGCCTACTTTTTCTATTACCTCCTCTAAAAATTCTGGCCTGTTTGAAGTTTTTATATCTATAACCATGATTCAAATTCATGTATTCTTCTGGTGTTTTATATTTTCATGCCTAGGCACCAGTATCCCAGTCTAATGTTGTAGACTGAGAAATCTGGGGCTGTAATGAATGAAAACAGTTGAGGGTAAGTTGAAGTTTATATGCAAACACTCCTTGAAAGAATTATTTTGCTAGGGACTGGAGAGCTTGCTTAGCAGTTAGGAGCACTTGGTGTACAATCATGAAGACATCAATAATTAAAAATGGAGTTTGTTGATCGAGATTTTCTGTCCCACCTGGTCCCACGGTCATTCAGTACCAAAGAAACACACAGAGGTCTACATTAATTATAAACTGGTTGGCCTAGTGGCTCAAGCTTTTCTTATTAATTTTTATAACTTATATTTTTGTCTGTGTTAGCTGTGTGGCTTGGTACCTTTCATCAGTGAGGCATGCTCATCTTGCTTCCTCTGTTTCTGGGTGACAACTGTAGACTCAGCCTTTCCTCTTCCCAGAATTCTCCTGTTCTTGTCACCCTGCCTATACTTCCTGCCTGGCTACTGGCCAATCAGCATTTTATTAAAATACAAGTGACAAATCTTTACAAAGTACAAGACCATTGTCCCACAGCATTCATCCACACACACTTTTTTTTTCAAAACAAGAATTCTGAATCTAATGTCCCTTGTTTAGCTTTCTTCCTGACCATTATCCATAACAACATGTATCCAACACTCTAAACAAAGAAAAATATCCATTTTTTGAGAATGTGGGCATAGTTTTTCTACTTCCTGCTGACTGGTGGCACTGATAATCTTATGGGTACCTAAAGAACATTTAGAATTATGAGCAAGTCCTGACTGGAGTATCCTGTGAGGCTTGATCATCTCAGCCAGCAGTTTTGAATCTGTTCTAGATGTAGAACTCAGACATCTGGGCCATCTGGATTTCTCAGGAGGTCTTCTTTGATCAAACCTGAGTTTTCTTAACCCAGAATGAATCCAGCGCCTCTCATTTCCTGTCTAAACAAAAGCAAAGCCTCTTCTCCAAAGTAACATATATTTTGACTTATATTATAAAGTCAAGGCATTTTCAAAATACATAGGTTGGATTAATTCAGCAACATTTATAATCAAATGTCGTTTAGCAGCCGTAACACAATAACATATAGTATCAAGACTCTGTGTATTCTCCATTTTTACGTGGCTTTATTTTAAACTCTATTTTTTTCTTTTTCTTTTTAATTTTTGGTTTTTTGAGACCAGGTTTCTCTGTGTATCTGGCTGTCCTGGCACTCACTCTGTAGAACAGATTGTCCTTGAACTCACAGAGATCCACCCGCCTCTCTGCCTCCAACTGTTGGGATTAAAGATGTGTTCTACCACACCTTGAATTCACAGAGATCCACTGGCTGCTGCCTCCCAAGGGTTGGGATTAAAGGTATGTGCCACCACACCTTGAACTCACAGAGATCCATCCACCTGCCAGAGTTAAGATCCCAAGACTGTGTAACACGCCAGCCGCACCTAGCAAACACCCATAAGTGATTCTAGTGCTGAGATAGATAGACAACTTCTTGCTTCTGCACGGGACAAACATATGCAGCTACACAAGCACGTGCAGGTGTATGTCCCTGCTAGCATGCATGTACATACACACATTTTTAATGTGTTTGGCGTTTGTTCATTATAAATACAATTAAAATAATAACACAAAAGTAAGACCAGCCTAGGTTACATAGTGAGTTCCAGGCAAGTATGGCTACAGATTGAGACTGAATCAAAAAGTTAGGTATATGAAAGTTTAAAATAATACTTTTTTTTTTTTTCATCTTTTGAGACAGGGTTTCTCTGTGTAAGAGCCCTGGCTGTCCTGGAACACTCTTTGTACACCAGACTGGCATTGAACTCACAGAGATCTGCCTGCCTCTGCCTCCCAGTAAGGGTATTAAAGGTGTGCACCACCACACCCAGCACTGTAATCTTAGTTTCTAAAGATACTCAAAATCAGTGATTTAGAAAACGCATTTGCCCATACACGGCCATTAGGGTATCAAACTCTTACATTCAACCTGGCACTGTGAATTCTCTTCACTGCAATGAGACAAGGAGCAGCTAGAATAATGAAAAGACAGAGAACTGTTTGTACACAATAAGATATTCTAGTTACCAAGTTTCACAGTATTGACAAAAAGATCCCTAGAAACAAGCGGAAAGTTTGTCTTCTTCCCTGCACACAAGATGAATGCACAGAAATGTGTATTTCAAGGGTAGGAGGAAGGCTCCAAATGTAAAACACAACGTTGACATGCCCAGTGTAATGATGTGTTCTGTCTCTTTAAGAGACAAGCGATGCTGCTCACTGCCTCCCCAAGCCAGGCATGGAGGCACAGGGGGCAGAGATGGTTTTTTGGTTTGTTTGTTGGGCTTTTTAGTCCATAGGCTCACCATGCAGGCCTGACTGGCCTGGGACTTGTTATGTAGACCAGGCTGGCCTCAAACTTACAAAGGTCTGCCTGCCTCTGCTGCCTGAATGCTTAGGATCAAAGACTTGTGCAGTCATACCTGGCAGTGACACAAGTTTCAAATCCCAGATCTTGGGAAGGCAGTGACAGGCAGATCCCTGGAGCTTGTTGACCCTCTCTCTGGTCTACTGGAAGGGCTCTTAGCCATGAAGAGACGGTCCAACAACTGAAGTAAATAGGCTCCATGGGTTGTCTTCTCGCCTCCACACACAGGAATGCATGCACACCTACGCATACATGTGAATCCACACAGGAATGCATGCAGACACATATACATACAAAGATACATTTCTATATACTAATGATGAACAGGCATATGGAAACTGAGATTAAAGGTCCAAAATCATTTATAGTGCTTTCAAAGGAAATGAGTATTTTTGAGTAGCTATAACAAATGTAAAAAGGATCTCAATGCCAAACCATACGAATTTCAATAAAAGAAATAAAAACATCTTGATGAACAAAGACAGACTCTGTTCTTAACATGAAACAATCTACATAAAAATGGTGTCAGTTCTCCCCAAAACTAGTCTATTTAATACAGTTTGAAGCAATGCCTTTTGTACTCACTATTTACTTCTTAAATTATGTGGGTATGCACAGCCCCTAGAATAACTAAAGATGTACTGTCAAATAAAAATAGAATTTGGAGGGATCACTCTACTCCCTATTAATAAATACAGATGATCTTTGATTTACTCTGAAGTTTATCTAGATAAATCAATTTTAAGTGGAAAATATCCTAAGACGAAAATGCCCTTCGGGTACCTAACCCACTGAACACAGTAACTGAGAAACGCTCTACAATGTGGAAACTTGGCTGTTTTTCTCTCACCCTTGCATAGGTGACTGAACGCTGCCCACATCGCCAGAGACTATCTGGCTTTGGGTTGGATTTGGTTTAACCTGTTGATCTAAAGATTAGATGCTAACATGAAAAGGCAGCCAGCAAACACAACAGAAATGGAACAAAATGCATGCACCATTGATCTGATGGCACTGCTTGGGGCAGTTCAGGGCATTATGCAAATAATGAGAGGTGCAATGAGTCCTTGGACCTGGTTCCCGAGGAGGCGGTGGAAGAGGGCTGTTAGCGTGCACAGGAGAGAACTACTGGATATACTTTCCTATAGAATTAGCAAAAGTGGTCCACGAGAGCTGGCTAGTCCTTAAAAGAAATAAAAACATCGTGATGAATTCTAGAGTATTTCTCTAGAGCTAGTCCCTGCAGCGCACCATTCACGCCGTTCAGTATTTGTGCACTCTAGGAATAACAAGCTGAACAGGTGGGACAGGCACTTGGTTGGTATGAGACTTCGTGGAGAGAGGGTTCCCATCTGTGGGACTGAGGTAGTAAGGCCAAGCAAGCCCGGCCCGACCTCTGCCGCCATTCTGTAGCAGCAGGACTCAGGATGAGACAAAGATACCTGCTGAACTAGGTGGGGGGTGGGGGGAAGAAAGACTTCTGCCCAGAGCCTGCGGCGAGGGGGCGGAGCTGAGCAGCCGCAGGTCTCGCAAGAAGGCCGAGAGCCACTGAGGCTGCGGGGTGGTGGGTGGAGCACTGGAGGCTGCAAGGACCCGGAGCCCGAGGGCGGGGCTGCAGGCAGCGTTGGGCAACTTGTCGCGGTGCAGCGCGGCGAGGCACACTGAGCTGGCTCTGCGGCGGGTGAGCGGGTGAGCCAGGCCGATGGCGGTGTCGACGGCCCTGTCGGCTGCAGCTGCGGCTGCAGCCCTATCCGGCCTGGTAATGCGATTGTCGCGTTGGGCGGCGATGCGAGGCTCCTACAGCGCTTTCTGCAAGGGGCTCACGCGCACGCTGCTCACCTTCTTCGACCTGGCCTGGCGGCTGCGCGTGAACTTCCCCTACTTTTATATGGTGGCCTCGGTGATGCTCAACGTCCGCCTGCAGGTGCGGATCGAGTGAGCCATCGCCCGCCACAACAGCGGCCCCCCGGGTGGAGAGCGCCATCTGCGTCACCCGCGCCACCCCCCCATCCCCTCCAGGCGGCCGCTTGAAGGACCTTGGGGCCGCTCAGGGCCCAGAGACAGTGGCGGGGGGCGCAGACGGAACTGCCTGGGTCCCTCCATTTTAGGCCTCCGCGGAGGGCCACAGTACTGCATCCCATACTGCAAAAACCCTTCGCAGCCGAGTCATTTTCCGCGGCATCCAGAGAATCATCAGAGTCTGGCAAACCTGTTGCCTCCGATTGGCCAGAAAGAGGGAGAACCCGAAAGAGGGTGTGCTACCGCAGGATTTACCAGGCCCTGTGCAGTAAGGTAGGTGCGGACAGGTTGGAATGGGGGCTGGTGGGTATAACTCGTTTGTGGAAATAGGGAATACGCCATGGCACACCTGCTGCGTAGCCAAGCTTAGAAACTGAAAAGGTAGGCAAGGCTATCCCGTGTCTCTGGTGGTGGTCCCATGATAGGGTATCGGGAGACAGGGAGCCCCTCTCACCCACCTCCAGGCCTCAAGTCCCTTTTTTGTTTGTTTGTTTTCGAGACAGGGTTTCTCTGTCTAACATTTCTAGCTGTCCTGGAACTAGCTCTTGTAGACCAGGCTGGCCTCGAACTCACAGAGATCCACCTACCTCTTCATCCTGAGTGCTGGGATTGAAGGCATGGACCACCACCACCCTGGCTTCAAGTCCCTTTTTTGTAGAAGCCTCCTAAGATGTAACCTGAACCCCGAATGACAGAGTGAATTGGGCCAGTGAGCCCCCCAGGAAGGTGCTAGAAGAGGAAATATTTGTCCATCGGTCTCCCTATGTCAGGTGGTCAGATAAAATGGACAGTTCTTTTCTGAACCAAACCTCAGGTCTGTCCCCTTCTTTGCATGCAGGCCCAAGGTTAGTCTCTGCAGCTCTGTGCAGCCCTTCTCCAGACTGCCTCCTGCACTCTTGGGGATGGGGCAGGGGACTGTCCTCTGCCTGCTCCCCCTGCTCTCCCTGTTGCTCCCCTAACCCAGCATTCCTGAGGCTCTCTGCATCTGCAGACAGGAAAGAACAGGAAATATTGGTTACAATCGTCTCTTTCCCCCACAGCCTGCTTCTCCCATCCTCCCTGTCTGCCCAGCAGCACCTGCGATGACACTGGTGAGACCCAGAAGCCCATCTTCCAGCCATGAGCAGCCTGGCAGCTGTGTGCCACAGGATCTGGGGAAGTGGGAAGGATTCCAGCAGCAAGCATCTGCTGTCGGGATAGGGTGGAGAAGCAGAGTGCACAGGAAGCCAACTCTGAAGGCTTTTTTTTCAAGCCTTGGTCTTCTGGGTGATGTCTCCCTTCTGTGATCATTTCAAGATGGATCCCTATGTAGAGATGCCTGCCTTTGTTCCTGAGCAGCCCGGGGAGCAGCTGAGTGAAGAACCTGCCTAGAAGAGGAAGGGCCTTTCTGGTAGAGGCCTAGAGAATGGTGGGGTTGCTCAGGCCTTCTGGCCCCGACATAGAAAAGATGCCAGTGTCCCTCGGGCACTGATATTTCCCAGTAACACTGTGAGGGAGACATATTCCCTCATCTCATGAACACAATGGGGCTCAAGTACCGGGCTTGGTTTGCCCTTGTTACACACAGAAGAAGGGAGGAGGCTCAGCCTGCCCTGGACCTGCATTCCCCCACCCCTTCTGCAGTCTTCTCCATGACCTAGAAGGACGCCGGGGTGGGGAGGGATTAGAGAGCTGCCAGGGGCCTAGGGAGAAAGAGAGGCTGTGGGTTAGGGTAGCTGGGTATCTGCCTTTCCTTGGAGTGGACTAAAAGACAGGCAGATGTTGAGTTCATGAACAGAGAGGTTGGTTCAAGAACTTCCTGAAATTAGTCCTCTCCACCTCTCTGGTGCTTGACCAGGGGCCCCCAAGCAGTTGTGTGGTAGTGGACTGCAATGATGACATTATGGTTCATGGGAAGTCGAGGAGCTACAGGCTGAGACCCATGGTATGGCTCTGTTTCTTTGTTCCCAGGCTTGTAGCCCCATCCCAGGCATCACATGGGAAAAGCTTCTCCTCCAGATATACTGAGCACAGTCTGTCCAGGAGGCCCTTCTTAGGCTAGACTCTCCAAATGCCCAAGGATGGCCCAAGGGATACTTTTACTATGTCTCCTACACTCCTCAAGCTTCTCTGGCACTGGTATCTCAAGGTCCATGCATTCCATTCCTGATATGGAAACCTTCAGCATGCTGGTCAGCCTTGGCCTACTGGGAGAAATGAGTATGGAGATGGAGGCCCTGCCTTCTTAGACCTCCTGCTCCAGGAAGCCCCTCCCTGCTCATGTCCAGGCATGGGCTATGGTGTGAGGTCAGAGGCACTGGCAATGGACTGGACTCTGGGCCAGTAGATGCGGGTAGAACTAGGACTCTGCTTTGTGTTCTTGTCCCATTCTGGCCCTGAGTAGTCTGTGAGCCTCTGTTTTCCCCGCCCCCTTGGCTACTTTTCTTCCTCCACAGTGTGTGATGGGGTCGTGATGCACTTTATCTCCTTGCAGTCTGTACTGCAAGCAGAAGAGCTTCAATCAGCTCAGAGACTGAACCCGGATGGCTGTACATTTACATTTGTGATGAACTCTGCTCTGCCAGCACTGTCTGGTCAGAGATGCTGTTTCTGATGTTGCCCCAATGTTGTTGTCTCTCAAATTTAAAAGAAAATCTTCGAGTTCAGTACACCAAATACTGCCTGGATGCCTCCTGTTTTTCTCTGGTGCCATACCGTACCTAGTGTGGGAAAGTTGGTGGGGTGCGAGACAGCACTGTCCAAGCCCAGCAGGGGTCACCCAGAGAGCTGATCAGGGAAACTGCAGCTTCAGAGCCTCCTCCTAGACCACCCTTGACAGAACCACCACCCTCTGCTCCCCCCACACCAAGTGGGTAACAGTAGAGCCAGGACCAGAATGTTCCAGTTGGTCAAGAAGCATAGGTCTTTTCTTTGCTTCTAGAGACTGATGTCAGAAATGTTTAACTGAAGTTGAACTTCAAGGGTAAAGGGAAGTGTAGCTGTGATCTTGGAGGTCACTTGGTGCTGGTCAGAATTTCTAAGAAGATAAATGACCCATAAGGGAATGGTGCTGAATGCCTGCTATTTCGTGGCCTTGGGAGTCAAAGTCTATTCTCTCAGAGTAACATTGCCCTGGGCTCCTTCAAAGAAACCAGGAACCAATCGGATTGAGGTGAGAAGGTGGTTGACAGACAAGCTGCCCAGTGGTGGCGCACGCCTTCAATCCCAGCACTTGGGAGACTGAGGCCAGCCTGGTTTACAGAGGGAGTTCCAGGACAGCCAAGGCTACAGAGAAACCCTGCCTCAGAAAAAGAAAACAAAAATCTACAAATGACATTAAGAAATTGGGGAATCTGGGTGGTCATGGCACACTTGGGAGGCAGAGGCAAGGGGATCTCTGAGTTTGTGGCCAGCATGAGCTACAGAGTGAGTTCCAGGGCTACACAGGAAAATCCTGTCTTGAAACATGTCCCTGCCTCCAAAAGAAGTTGAAGAAAATAGAAAGAGGGAGTGAGGTTCAGGGGGAGGGCGGGAAAGGAGGAATCTAGGAAAGTGGATGGGGAGCTCCAGGCTGGGTCCCTCCAGAAGAGGCCAGAAGCCTGGGAAGGAAGAACGTGGAGCGTGCGGGTGGAGCATCCACCGTACACTAAAGAAGCATGCTTCAGCAGAGGAGTACAGCCTGAGTTTAGGGGCTCAGGTTATACTCATTACAAGGCTCCAAGCACTCCCCGGGGGCCAGGGAACCGGAATAAGGACAACACTCCTAGCAGTGGTGGAAGTGAGTCCCTGTGGCATCTGCCAGTCCAAGCACAGATCTGAGCCGCTGAGCCTACCCTCTCCATCCTGCTCACCTCATTAGCATGTACTCTCAGATCTCCTGGACCAGCAAACCAGAGGAGGCAGGCAGGCTTGGCCTGTCATGGTGATAGGTGGTGCCCAGCAAAACGCCGAGCCAGGCTCTCCGCCTTAGTTCTGCCAGATGCCTGGTACAGAGGTACGGCACAGCGCACCGCACAGCGTGCATTGGTTTGGTTTGTTCAGTGACCTTCTCGTGCTTGTGGGCATTCAGTGGTGGAAAAGCTGTGTGACATTTGTCAACAGGTCATGGAGCGGCCTAGTTACTAGGAAGAAAAGGAACTGAGTGATGAGAACTGACCTCCAAGGAGATCTTGCCCGGTGATTGCACTGTGCTTTGCATTCTGAATCTCAGCATAATCCCACACCTTTATCCTCTGTCCAAAAAAGAGGTGGGGTCTAAAATAGACCAGGAAAGAAAAGCCCATTTTCTGCATCCCTGTCCCTGGGTAGGAAGAGAAAGGCGGGCTGGAAAATGGTGGAAGAGCAAAGGTAAAAAGGTCCATTCTGTGTGAGGTCCAGGACTCGGATAAGAAAGCCTGGGCTTTGGGGAGTTGACCTGCTCCAAACCGAGCTCTCTATGGGGAGCAGCTAAGGCCATGCAGAGATGGGCCACCTTCTCTCTGTACCACCTCTGGAAAGTTCTAATCTTAGTGACTGAGTCAGGAGAGAGCAAGTTGGCAGTAATCAGGCAGTTCTAGGATAAACAGAGCAAAATGTATGAAGAAAGTGAGAAGAGTGAAGAGCAAACAAACGTTCCTGTCACTGATCCCCTGCTGCACCTCCCACAAAGGCTGCGGAGTCTTGGGTGAATGTGGAGGCGCGGGGGAGTAGAATGTGAAACTGAGCTGTGGCAAATCCGTTCTTCGTTCCTCCCAATTCTTGCTTATCATTCCATATAGTTGATTTTTTTTCTATATTCAAAGCTGCCTTAGCCCCTTATAGGAAGGTATATTGCATTTCTCCATGTTTTCTCATGCCCTTTGTTTCTGTTCACGGTTTTTCTGTTTTCTGGAAGTTTTTTTTTTGGGGGGGTATCTTTTTTTGTTTGCTGTTATGCAATTTTATAGGCGATGAAATGACAACTGTCATGAAGGATAAATACGTGGCATACTCGTGATGGGTTTCTAAATACATGCTTTTAGATGTAGATGAAAGGTCGGCATGGGTGGGGCTTTTGTTTAGCTCCAGCATCTTGGTACCAAGTTACTTTCCTCAGCTCAGCCAGGGGTGAGAGGCTTTTTTGAGGAAAGGGTCACATTCTGGGTCACAGCAGCATTTAAGAATGCTACAGTCTGCCAGGCAGTGGTGGCGCACACCTTTAATCCCAGCACTGGGGAGGCAGAGGCAGACAGATCTCTGTGAGTTCGAGGCCAGCCTGGTCTACAGAGTGAGTTCCAGGACAGGCTCCAAAGTTACAGAGAAACACTGTCTCAAACAACAACAACAAAAAATGCTACAGTCTTCCATTGCCTCAAGCTGGGTACAGTTCTCTCTCTCCAATACCAATATATTCAGTTGAGCCCATTACTTTCCTAAAACTTTTCTCTCTTCACCATTCATGGCCCAAATTAAATCTTGTCTCCTAGTCTCTGTGGACAGACATCCATTAGGCTTATAACTATTTCAGTTTGATGCATTAAAATGGCTTATTATAAGAATCCATTTTAGATTCCTTTCAATACACATTAGGACAGTATGTGGTCATATGTCTATTGGCCACTTGTATTTGTCTTTTCAAACAGAAGCACTGTGTTTTTAAAAAGAGGAAATGGGGTGTTCTTTTCCATCATTGATTAATGGGAAATGATTTCGGGCCAGGCTGTCAGCATGAATGTGTGCGGTAGACAAGTGGCGCTTGTTCCATCCTCCACCCTCTCTACTAACACATGGCATAGCATCATTTAGGAACACTAGCTGCTCTCCAAAGTGAAGCAGACAGAAACAGCAGGCGGCCAGAACGATGAGTGGAACCGAAAGCGGGTCTGGGGGGGGGGGGGGGGGGGCGGAAAGTCAGCCAGCAACAAATAGGCACCCCGTGCAGGGTGAGGGCAGGGTGGGGGTGGGGCTGTAACTATGTGATTTATGCGGGCCTTTGTGGTACCAGTGTACTGTCTGCCACGAACGGGAGCCAGGACATCTTGACTTGCTTGCTTGTGACTCAAGAAAATTAATTCTCATGTCCAAGCCTTGGCTTGAAAGAGGCTCACCATCAATCCCCATGAGAACCTTTCTGTTAACATAGGCTTCATACATGGCTTTGGGATGAACACCTGACCAACTAATCTAAGGGCTTAGGAATTTCTCAGCACAGAACTGTGATGCCATGAGCAGAGCCTTTCTGAAAAGGTTCCACTCAAACTCTACTTTGGGAAACATGAATTCCTTGCATTTTTCTTGTTCATGGGACTCCCAGCAATCTTTGTCAGACTGTACTCAAATACATATTGCTGCAGCTCCGTATGTACCAAAAGGTATTCACTGAAGCAAGTTCACTGAAAATTACATATTGTGGGGTTGGGTCAGAAACACAGACATAGGCTGTGTGGTGGTGGCGCACGCCTTTAATCCCAGCACTCAGGAGCAGAGGCAGGCGGATCTCTGTGAGTTCAAGGCCAGCCTGGTCTACAAGAGCTAGTTCCAGGACAGGATTCAAAGCTACAGAGAAACCCTATCTCGAAAAAACAAAAAGAAAGAAAGAAAAGAAATGTAAACATGGAACTCATGTCTCTTGAGTACTAGCTGTGCTAGCAGGAAATTGAATAAATTTGTGCAATCCCACGTCCTTGCCCAGGTTTAGAAGTCCCTAGTGGCAGATGGTGGAAGTGCAGGACCTGCTGGGTTTGGGTGGTGATGCCTGAGATCTGGATGTGTGCAAGGCTGTCAGACAAACGCTGTGGCATCGGGGAGCTAATCTTGGAGTGAACTGCAGTTGGGGGCACTTTGGTCCCATGCTGCCTTCTACCAGCAAGCAGGAACACTGAGGCCATTTGAATGTGCTTTCATCCCCAAACACACTTCCTGCCATTTGCTCTCGCCAAGGGGCACACAGCACAAGGAGACTCCGACAGAAATGAAGAGCGTGACCATGCCCAGCCAGAGTAATACCCACTGGTACACAAACACTACAATGGAGACAGTATTTTCTCACTAAGATCTTCTTTCTCAGGTTGAGCATGGTGATGCACGCCTTTAGTCCCAGCCCTCAGGAAGCAGAGGCAGGTGGATCTGTGTGAATTTGAAGCCAGCCTGGTCTACAGAGTGAGTTCCAGGACAGACAAGGCTGTTACACAAAGAAACCCTGTCTCTAAAAACACATACACACACATACAAAGATTTTCTTTCTTTTTCACTGATGAACTATTCAAGCATTCAGGGCCATGACTAAAAAGACCAAACTTAAGGAGCTGGAGAGATGGCCCAGTAGTTAAGAGTGCAGACTGCCACTGCAGAGGACCCAAGTTTTGTTTCCAGCACTCATGTTGAGTTTCTCACAACTGCTTGTAATTCTAGATCTGCAGAATACAAGATTGTCTTTTGGCTTCTGTGAACATCTTCACTCATGGGTATATTACCCTTTACCTGTCTTCCCATAATTAAAAATAAAATAATCATAAGACCAAACCTTGGAAGGGGAGTGGCTCATGATCTCCCATACTTAACTGAGGAGCTATTGACAATTGGTGGCTTCTAGGAGGGGGAAAGGAACTAATTTAAGAGTTCAACCCCTAGTGGGTCACCAATGTTTCAGTGGATGGTTCCCAAACCTGGGCGTATCTAGTAAGCACACATCAGACAGGGTTGTTTTCTCATTCCTTCCT